TCGTAGGAGGATATGCGCGAGATCCTGACAGAACTGGTAAGGATACACCTGTGCCAGTTTAGTCCTGCTTCCGAAAGTACCAGCGTTTCCCTCGAGGGGTTGATGTGCATGTTTGACTGAGCTGGAAAAATTTTTACACCTTCGGAAGATCGGTCTCATTACTCGGGAGGTAAGCAGTGCATCAAGCTCGTGGGCTTGAGACTTCTGAGCCCGGATTCAGGATCTTTTAGTCCATATGCACAGAAATGGAAATCTCCCAGGTCACGGATGGATCTGAAAACAATTGTTGCATGCATTTCAGACACCATATCGTGGATGTCTGAGGATTTTCGATGATGAAGTATCTTCTGTGCTTCAACTGATATCGCGCAATGGATGCCACAAATTCAACCATGGGAAGGTAGCGTCTCCGCTTTTCCCCGACCTTTTGTTGGTCTTGTTGCATGTTCTGCATGTTTGCCCATGGTCCACAGACCGGTGCCATTAGGATGACATCAGGTGCTTGTTCCCTGATGATCTCCATGACCATGTGTCGTCCCTTGGATGTCATTACGTCGAATCCGGTGCGGATATCTACGGGAGTCCCAACCTTAAGACCTGATAGTGCACAGCATTGACTGAATCTGGCACTTCCTGCAAAGATTTCGAGAACGTGGATCTTTCCTTTACGTACACAATTCCAATGTGCTTGTTCAGGAACGGATGTGAGGTCCTCGACGAACATGTTCTCTGCCGGATGAGGTTCTGCAAGTTTGGGAGTTGTTTTTCCCGCGATACGTAATGGCACTGAGGATCTTGGCTTAGGAGCTGGTGCGGATGACTCCTTCTTCTTGGCGTCTGCAGAGGCGCCGGTTTGCTCCTTCTGCAAGGATTCTCGCTCTTCTGGTGATAGAAGATCAATTCCAGGTTTCCCCGGAGGGATGGTTTCATCCTTTCTGACCTTCGTCATGTTAACCTTGATGAGTCGAGTCCCAAGATCAAGTCCTACCATTGCTCCTTCAATGGAAATGACCTTTCCTTTTAGCCATATTCCTCTTTTGCGTCCATCGGAACGGATCTTGGATTTGTCTTCCTGCCAGTAAAATACCTTGTCTTTCACCTGAAGAGGCTTAGAACTCATTCGGAGATTTTGAGCAAGGTCTCGTCGGATGTCTTCGGATTGACGCGCTTCTTGGAATGCTTGCTTGGACAGCTGCTTGATCTGGATGGCTGTCATCTCTTCTTCATTCCTGTCAATCGTGAACTGAGTTGGTGTTGCGACATCGAGTTGGATGAGATCTGCTGGTCGTCTTCCGAATGCGAGCTCCAATGGTGTTACACCCCTGTAGCTGACGCCCTGACAGTTGCAGCGGCCTTCACTAGCTGCCTGTATGTCACTTTCTTCAGTGTTGCAGGTGCTGTACCTGCCTTGATGGAACTTAGCATGATCTTGAGTTGTGCCTTCAGGAGTCGAACTGCTGCTTCAGCTCGATTTGGCCATGGTGTATTCGGTCCCAAGGATATCGGTGTGATGTCAAGGGACTGATAGAAATGTTCCCATGTCTCTGTCATGAAGGCTTGGGCTGCAAGTTGTACTGGTCAAAATAGTTCGTGAGGACAGTGATGTTCTCGACTTCTTGCGTAGTTGTCACTGCCTCTGCAGTGAGCAATGTTGTTGCTCCATCCAGGATGACAAAACAATGATGTGTTCTCCTGTTCCAAGAGGAACTTGACAGTGATCAATGAATGTCATGTCACCAAAGGTGTCCGCACGAAGTCCACTTGCTTTGCTTCGTGATGGTGCATGTTTTGCCGCTTGGCAAACTTCACACTCACTTCGGATTTTGTCAAATAGATCGAATGTTGATTTCGGCAAATGAAGTGCGCGGGTTCTAAATCGAAATTGATCTGTTGTCATGTGGTGATGCTGTAGGTGGAGCTTCTTCAACTCTTCGGGATTTGACAATCGCTTGTGGATTCTGCCTAGGGCAAGCGGAAGCCATGTTGGTTCTTCTGAGGATGGTGCGAAAGGATCTGGCTCAATGGTCGACCGGCCCCTCTTGTCGATGATCCTGTCTGCTGCCGGTCCTGAACCTGCTTCTTCGTCCTTAAGCGAATTGTCCGCGAAGGTGAAAATGGTCTTACCTATCCACAGGTTAATCATCGGTTTATTTGCCTGGGATGTAAGTCTCGAATTGTCTTCTAGGATGTCTGGATCTCCACTTACGGATGCATCAATGATTTCCGTAGTACGTTCTTGGCTAATGTTGTCAGGATTGATTGGACACTCCTTGGCTCCATTTGGTGTGAACAGCGCCTTTCGGGGCGTGATGTGCACACGGATGAGCTGCTTGTTCTTCTTGTCAAGGATCCAATGGTCCTGCTTTTGAGACCCAACGATCTTAGGAGTTGCTAGGTCCTCCTTTGTCTCGGATGATTTTGCTGCACAAACAGTTTCACTCTTGGTGAGATCCCCGGAGGGAAACTTGATGCTGTTATCATCGTCATAGACATAGTTGGTGAGGCCTTTGTGAGCAATTTCTCCATATGCCTTCACTCTTGCAACTCCAGCGAGATCGACGAGTGCATGTCCTGCACCGGATACTGGAACTGCTTGACGGTTCATGCCAAAGGCCTTGCCTGTGATCTTGTCACATTGAGGTGTGTGCTCGATGATCATGTAGAGCTTCCGCATCTGACTGACACTGACTGATGCTGAGGAGGATCGGTGCAGTTCCTTGTTCAAGGATGTCGATGTTGGTACTGCATGGAGGAGTTGTGTGATATCGAAGATGCAGGGTCCAATTTACCCTGGCGGTCTCTCCGTTTGCAAAAGTGAACTTGGTCTCGGCCGGAATGTACTGATAGGAGATGATGTCCTTCATTAGTTCGATGGCCTGAGTAAAACGCTGGATTGCATGCCAGCTGCCCATAGATCTGGTACATCCATTGTCCAGAATCGCATAGGTCGGATTGTGCTGAGGGTTGATGACAGGCGCCATCAGCTTTGTTGCCAGGAGGATATGATTTGTTGTGACGGACAGATTGTGTTCTGAAACTGTATCTGATTGGATCAGCTTCCCGTGGATGGCCTTTTTCTCATGATGCTCATATGCATCATGGAATGCCATTAGCGCTTGTCCTGCGCTGGATGTCTCATGGGATGAGTACCAGCCATGTTCGTTCCATTCATAGGATGGATAACCTTTGTTTCCATCATAGGGATATTGGAATGTTGATTTGCCTTTCTTTCCCTTCTTTCCTTCGCCTTTTCCCCAATATGCCTGGTCGTAGGGATCATAGTTTTCGTTGGCCATGTTGGCCTTTCCGCCAGAACCGCTTTTTCTGAAGGGTTTGAAGCCACCTCGTTGGTGACTGCCCTTTCTATTTCCTGATTTTCCTTTTCCTTTACTTTTCTCTTCTTGAACTTGAAGTTCCGCCCCGACACTTTTCTTGCTATGAACCAGAACGTCTCTTCATCGTTGTTAGACATGAATCCTTCAAGTCCTTCTTCATCCTCAACCCAGAAGCCTTCTTCTCCTTCGTATTCACCTTGTTCGATGATGAAGAATGTGTTGCTTCGGTTGCCTCCTTGAGGTCGGATGGATGGATCTTGAATGGATGTCCTCGTCGTGATGAAGAGTTCATGGTAATGCGTCTTCAGCATCTCAGGAGTAGTTTTCTAGTGAGATGTTTCTCAATGACATTGCACTTGTCAGTCTCTCTCTTTGCTGATCTGACAGCTCACTCTGAATGATGAAAAACTGTGCAAAGATCCTGCATTCCCGTGATATATTGTCACGGGAATACTGGATCATCCTCATTGAGCAGGGCTGGAGGCGGGGCTCGAACACCGGCTGCTTGCTGATGTCGAGCAATTGTTCTTGCATTTGCTTCCTGCGCGGACTGTCGAAATGTTGGGGACTGTGCCGTAAAAATTGGCATCAAGTCCATCCATGCTGCCTTCAATCTCATAAGAAGGATTTCGAATTTTGAGGTCTTGGTTCTGCCTTCGATGGTTGAAGAAACTCAGGAGCCTGTACAGATACACGTTGGTCGCACCTTTCAAAAAGTACTTCTTCAGCGTGTTCTTGAAGTAGTTGACTCCTTCATCAGGATCTTGCAAAAGGTCGTTTTGGAGGACTGCCTTGTACATATATGCATCTCCGGTCAATCTGCTCTTGAGCAGAGGTCCTCTCTTGGGTGCTTCCACCGTTGTGATTGTCACCCAGTCGTCCCCGAGTTCTTCATACCTGAACCAGCTGACTTTTCCGGCGTACGATGGCGGCTGCTTGGCGGTCATCGATAAATTGAGTGTTTCCTCCGCATAGCCTGTGGCCATGAAGCCTTCTCCATCGGATGACATCTTCCCTTGGATCTCTGCGGAAAACCTGCTCCGCTACCACAAATTGAGGCCCACTGCCGGGGTACCTATCCCAGAAGGGAACTGGTACCTTTGTGGTAGTAGAGGTCGTTGATTTGGTCCCTGGATCTATTCCGGAGAGAATCCAATATGCCACTATGGATGATTGGAGGATGGGCTGTCCCTGGTGGATTGTCTTGTGGATAATCCTGTAAGCGGCCTGCAAAGGTTCTTTTGTCACGCAATCATGAATGTTGCTATGTTACACAAAAGGGGCCTTGAGCCAAATGTTGCAGGAGATCAAGTGTTCAGAAAACCAAACACAGGGGGGGGGCAATAGTGGGTAAACAAAAAACAACATTTGTAGTTATATATTTTTTGGCGGGGGCATTTCTTGGCTGACCCAAAAGGCAGCCGAAGGCAGCAGGCTGGCTGCCTGAAAGGACCTGGCGCTGGACACGTCAACTAGTGCTTGGATTGCTTCCATTCGCTTCAGCCACCTGGCAAAATCGTTTTTCCTGTAGTGATAGATTCCCTTTGGAAAAAAAACAGGGGAAAATAAACTAAACAGGTGGAAGATACAGCAACAGGGGAAAAAACAATGGAAGCTTGCCTTGGGGATGTGAGTCAGGAAGATTGGTGCCCCTCAGGATGGCACAGTGGCGAACGCAAAGGCCGTGTTGGACAGCTCCTGGCGTCGGGTCCGAGAGGGCTTCTTCTTGGTTGGCGTTGGAAGGGGAGCAAAAAGAAACATATTGTAGCAGTTAAGTGGTTGGATTCCAACCGCTAAACCACAATAAGCAAAAATGCAAAATGTGTCCCAACAACCATGTCTTTCTTGTAGGGTTCCACCAACGTCGTCCCCGGATTCATCAACCCGGTCTCATGTTTGTAAGGGGCTCCCGCCTGCATGTTGAAGCTGGACATTCGCTGCACCTTGAGGCACGCACACAAATTCAAATACTTCCATTTGCTTAAGCCCCCTGGAAAAATGAAATAATTTCCAGTAGTGATAGATTTCCTTTAACACCAACAAGGGAAAATCATAAAAGCATTCTTAAGCAAATGGAAGAAGAAGGTTTCCCCGCGGAAAACGTCACTTCGCCCCTTTTTGGGGCCGCTTGATTTGAGTCGTGACGGAAAGGAAGCCTTCACCAAGTGGCATTCCCACACCAAACGGGGCCTGCGAAGGGGGAGATCTCGCTATTTTCGCGTGCCAAAAATAAACCAACCCCAGGCACTGCCTGAAACAAGGAAAACCTGTGGAGAGTCCCTGTGCATGCATCTTATTCTTGTCACGGAGCACTAAAACAGGTGACTGCTTCCAAAAACGGCTCTAAGCGCCCTCAGGCCCACCCGCTTGTGGCACACCAGCTGGGCCGCGGCTCGTCGACAAGAACGGTTTTGACTGGATGAAACTGGAATCTTGCTGCCGGCATTCGGGATTGGGCCCTGTTTCAACATGTTCAATCAGCTTCCCTCGGATTGGTGGTTTGCTCTGGTTTGGAGGTTTCCGACTACAACCAGTGGATTCAAATCCACCATTGCACCAAAGGCTTGCCAGATTGTAGTGATATCAACCTCCTTTTCCTGTCTCCCTTTTCAAGCGACCCGGCCGATAAAGCCACTGCAAAAACCACCTCGTTTTGGTGTCCTGTTTCAAGGGGTTTTTCTTGGTTTCAACAGGTGCCACGCCCAACCCTTGCTACGCCTCTCTCTCTCTCTCTCTCTCCCTCTCTCTCGCTCTCTCTCTCTCTCTCTCTCTTTCTCTCTCTCTCTCTCTCTCTCTCTCTCTCACTCTCCATTTTCCACTGATCGTTGGCCGGTGGCAGGGTTTGCCGCTTCGGTTTGAAACCGCTCACGCCCTTCTCACTTTGTGATGTTCCGCTGGCGGCACCCAATAGCCTCTCGGGTTCCCATGAGATTCCCATGAGATTCCCATGAGATTCCCCTTTGCAACATTAATACTTGGACATCACCCCGCTCAAAGCAAACCGAATACAACTTTATGTCTAGGGCGATATTTGAACCACGGGCCATCCATTTCCGAACCGGATTGCAGACCCTAACTTCGGGGTGTGGAAAAAACGGGTTCGTCCCCCTCTTTTGTGCGGAATGTGAGTACGGATTTCAGGATTCCGCCCCCCTCCCCCTAAAGGATCTATGGGTACTTGGCCTCAAGGGGCCTCAAGGGGCCTCAAGGGTGCCGAGTTGGGTGCCACAAGCCTGCACATCCCAGCCCGTCTTAACTGAAGTTACCTCATGTTACATCCCCCTGGACAAAGTTCAGGTCGTTCCTGAACGTCCTGCATGTCCCCGAATTCACCGGACGGAGAATCTCTTCCCAGCTTTTCATGGAATCCTAAGGCCATCTTCAATCCTGCGTCCCATTTCTCAGCTTCCCCCCAGAAAGGTGGAAGGTGGAGTTTGGAGCGTGGGGCGAAACCCATTCCACAAAAGCCAAAAGTTCAAACCAATCCAAGCCACCTTGGAAAACATGCCCCCTCACGCGCAAGGATCGAAATCCAAATATCCAAACCAATCATTGCCTGAGTTTTGCCAAGCCCCAGGAAGTCGGGGCCTTCCCCGAGCCTTCCCACGTGCCTGGCTTGCACTGAAGCTGCATGGCGCCGCTCGATGGGTCGATGGCCGTGACGAGGGTATCCATCCAACAGGCGTAGCTGGAAGAGAAGTACTGCACCTGCCATGGCCGAGGGGGGTCACTTGACCCGAGATCATGGGCGCTTCCCTTGGGAAAAGGTGGAGGCTGTTCCAGGGCTACCTTCCATTTCCATTCTTTCCAGAAATCCAAATCTTTCTAGAAAACTTCCGGAGTCCCAGGGAGAAAAGCTGGCTTTTGAAAAGAACGATGGCTGCAAAGGATGGGGAATCAACCCCTGGAGTTGTTTGGAGGTGCGGAGCTTGGGCTGTTGGTTGCTCCCAGGAGCTTGAGCAAATGCTTACCCGGGATCCGTCATAGAGAATGCTGCAGAAGCCAAAGGTCAAAGAGATCATGGGTGACCGAGCCCTGCCTGGGGATGTTTTAATCAGCTTCCGGCGGTTTAGGTGGTTTGGGCGTTTGGTTTCCCCTTACCCTCTACAGAGCCTTGGGTTCAAATCCAAATCCAAACCAACCTGGGAAGAACAGCCAACAACCTATCCTATCTCCTGTGGTTCTCTGAGAGGAAAACAGCCATCATGTGGCACTTAGCGCCCAAATAGTGCAGGGCGCTGTTTTTTTGCTTCAACCATAATGATCTTGGAAAAGCAGCGTTTGCCTGCTCCGCTTTCAACTCAATGATTATGCTCCGGAAAGAAGGATTTCCAGAAATAACAGGGAAGCTACCCGGCACACCCCTAGCAGTACATTTTAAAAAGCACAGACATCTGGCTCTCCGTTCAGAATTCAGCTGGAACCCAGTCGTTTTCCGGCCGAGGCAGCCTGCGGAATTGGCAGAAGGCAATCCTAGTAGATGTGTCCGGCTGAGAGGCCACTGACCCTTTGAAGCAAAGCACAAGATCTTGCGTCAAACACCCGCAGCACAAAGGACGCCGGCCGGAAGCTTCGATTTGGATTTAAGTCCAACTTCCTTTTGCCAAACTCTAGCGGTCTGGCCATGACTTTCGCCAGCTTTGGGGATCCCTTTTGGAGGGCCACTCAAAAACTCGCATGGCCAAGTGGCGGTAATTAGGGCAAACTCTCTCCCACTGCCCGTAGGAAAAGAAATGTTTGCAACCAGCATCTGACCTCTGTATCTTTGCAACGGCCTGATGCCAACAGGCCAAGTCTTCAACTTCAGCGGCTTAGGCGTTGCCACGACCCGTCATTTTTGCCCCCGCGCTTTGGATCTCAAAATGCTGCCTGCTAGTACAAAGCACCCTCTGAATGAAGTTGATGCACATCATGGAACCAAATCAACTGTAATGCTTTGACACAATGTAGATCATGCCTTCTTTTGCGGCTTCGGGAAGCCAAAGGCGGCCAATTTGTTGTTATTTTCAGCCTTTTTCGGGATTGCCCTTTTATTGCCTGAGCACGAGCTCGAAGACTGCAAATTAAGGAAACCTCCCCCTTTGTCTCTTGCACTCTTTTACAGGCCCGTTTAAGGCCCCTGACGTTAAAACCGGACCTCTGGCAACGGCTTCAAAGTTCAACTTGACTATGGGCCAAAGCAGAAAACCAAAAAGGTGAATCAACATCAACACCGATCGATACCAAGATGATCTGCCCTGAAACATGTTTAAAGAGTTGACAAGGCGGCGAAGGCAGCCATGTATGGTTGGGATTATCCCCTGACCTTTCTCTACCCAGGTTTTGAACCAATGGCTCATTTGAGCCACAGCTACTTGAGTCTGTCTTTTTAGGGGGCCCCAACAATGGATGGTATTCATTTTGGTATCCCTTCAAAATACTACAAAAACAAAAACAAGCTAAGAAAAAGAACCCCGAGTCCCCAGGACGTGGCCCAGGTCAGATCCACCCGATTCGCTTTCGCGTCCCTGCCTTGTCCCCGGCACGGGGGGTCCACTGCGGCGCTGCTGGCCGGGGCTGGCTCTCCCCGGCCAGCGCCTTCTTGAAATCCGAAAAGCTCACCTCGGCGGTGATCATTCGGGTTGGTCGCTAAAGCCGTCTGGTTTCCCTTTCAAGGGGACTTGGGGGGGTGGTTGTTGAAACACATTTGGGTGGGTGTGTGTGCGTGGGTGTGGACGTGGGTGTGTGTATGTGGGTGGGTGGGTGTTTGCATTACCGTGTGCAAGTGCAAGTGCAAATTTAAGTGTAAGTGTGTGTGTGTGTGTGCTTGAGTGTGTGTGTGTGTGTGTGTCTGTGTGTGTGTGTGCGTGTCTGTGTGTCTGTGTGTGTGTGTGTCTGTGTGTCTCTCTGTGTCTCCGTGTGTCTCCGCGTGGCTCTCTGTGTGGCTCTCTGTGTGTCTCTCTGTGTGTCTCTCTGTGTGTCTCTCTTTGTCTCTCTGTGTGTCGCTCTGTCTCTCTCTCTCTCTCTGTGTCTCTCTGTGTGTCTCTGTGTGTGCCTCTCTGTGTGTCTCTCTGTGTGTTTCTCTGTCTCTCTCTCTCTCTCTCTCTCTGTGTCTCTCTGTGTATCTCTCTGTGTGTCTCTCTGTGTGTGCCTCTGTGTGTGCCTCTCTGTGTGTGTCTCTGTGTGTGTCTCTGTGCGTGTGTGTCTCTGTGTGTGTCTGTGTGTGTGTGTCTCTGTGTGTGTGTCTGTGTGTGTCTCTGCGTGTGTCTCTCTGTGTGTGTCTGTGTGCGTGTGCGTCTCTGTGTGTGTGTCTGTGTGTGTGTGTGTCTCTCTGTGTGCGTCTCTCTGTGTGCGTCTCTGTGTGCGTGTCTGTGCGTGTGTGCGTCTCTGTGTTTCTCTGTGTGTCTCTGTGTGTGTCTCTGTGCGTGTGTCTCTGTGTGTGTCTCTGTGTGTGTGTGTCTCTGTGTGAGTGTGTGTCTCTGTCTGAGTGTGTGTCTCTGTGTGTGTCTGTCTCCGTGTGTGTGTGTGTGTCTGTGTGTGTGTGTGTCTCTGTGTGCGAGTGTGTCTCTGTGTGTGTCTCTGTGCGTGTGTGTCTCTCTGTGTGTGTGCGTCTCTGTGTGTGTGTGTGTCTCTGTGTGTGTGTGTCTCCGTGTGTGTCTCTGTGTGTGTGTGTGTCTGTGTGTCTCTCTGTGTGCGTCTCTCTGTGTGCGTCTCTCTGTGTGCGTGTCTGTGCGTGTGTGCGTCTCTGTGTGTTTCTCTGTGTGTCTCTGTGTGTGTCTCTGTGCGTGTGTCTCTGTGTGTGTCTCTGTGTGTCTCTGTTTGTGTGTCTCTGTGTGTCTCTGCATGTGTGTGTGTGTCTCTGTGCGTGTGTGTCTCTCTGCGTGTGTGTCTGTGTCTGTGTGTGTGTGTCTCTTTGTGTGTTTGTCTCTGTGTGTGTGTGTCTCTGTGTTCGTCTCCGCGCGTG